CCTTCCAAAAGCCTCCCGCCATTTCCTACTTCCCTAACGTCAATCAGGCCACTCTGCCATTATCGTAGCGGCCATGGCGACTCTCCGAGCAGGCGTGAATACAGCAATGAAGTGAGTATTCGCATGCCAGATTTCCAGAGCGAGTAGCTGACTATAGCAGCTTCGATCCATCCAAGTTTGTCACAGTCATTGTGGGCAAAGAGCCAGATCAACAGCGGTTTTCAGTCCATGAAGGAATCATGTGCGCACGTTCTGAATTCTTCCAACGTGCCATGAACGGCAACTGGACAGAGAGCAAAGAACGCATCATCAGGTTGCCGGAGGACGACCCAAAAATTTTCAACATCTACATCAACTTTCTCTACACGGGTTACGTTGTTACCAACGCCATCGAAGAACCGAAGACTGCCACTCATATCGTGGGCGAGATGCACGTACTCGGCCGGCTTTACGTGATCGGTGAGAAGCTTCAGGACAAGGCTACGAAGAACTCCGCCATCAAGAGTCTGCTGGAGGTCGCTCAGGAGAAAGACGCGAACGGGAAGATCTACAGTCCATCAATCGATACCATAATCAACGTATACCAGGGCACGTGTGCTGGCAGTCTTGGTCGTCGCCTCTTGGTAGATTCCTGGGTCAAAATACACCCCGAATACATGGCCAAGAACGCGGAGACTCTGCCCAAGGAGTTCCTCATTGACCTCGCCGTCGCACTTCTGGCCGACCGTCCAGACAACAAGCCGAAGCTGGCTACGATGGCAAATGTGAGCAACTACATGGAGAAGATGGATTGATTCCCCACAGAGGCACCAAACACTTTCTATTGGCTTGAGTCAACCGCAGCACAGATTGAAGCAGAGCAAGCATTATTGGAAGATCTGCAGTGCTCGATCATGTGACAGGAGTCGAGGTCGCCGACCAGGACATTCTTGAAACTATTGCCGCGATACGTGTCAACGAAACGCAAAACGGGAAAGCGAAGCAGGTTACTAGTCAGAGGCTACAACTGGGTGCACAGGATTTGGTTCAGCCTCAGGTGGTCCGAATCATTTCCATCATGTATGAAAACGAAGGCAAACTCCCTATACACACCATAGTGACTCATCATTGTATTCACAGACCTGAGATAGCAACGAACCGAATGACATTAACAACTAACCCCCTCATCCAAACACCATAGAAAGTCCAAGTCTCATACATCGTAAATCGCAGACCCTCAAGCAACAGGATCCCAACCACCGCTCAAGGCTTTTTCAACCGACACAAGCCGCCGAGAAGATATGCAAAGAACAACAACAACAGCAACAAATTACCTCCTTGCAATCCACGATAAAGGACAGAAGGCTCATCCCCAAGAACACCTATCAATGAATAACGCCAAAAGCTCAATCATATGCATATGTGCCAGCTAATACTGGCTGTTCCAAACATGTATTATAATATTCCCGATGAAAAGGTTGATTCGTCGTCGTCAGAGGGAGGTTGCGGCCAGTGGTCGGGTTTGGGTATCGTGCTGCCGGGTTCGCCTTCGTTAGGTTTGCGACCCCATACTACGTAGCTAGTAGATGTTAGCATCCGCCTCGTCATATCGTGAAATGTTCAGTATGCGACTTACAAGTTGTAGTAGGCGTGCACACTCTCGTCCGCGAGCGAGTTCCTCACATGCGCGAGGTAGACTTCGACCTCTGCTGGTGTCCAGCCCAGGCCGGTGACAAAGTATTCAATAGTCCATCCGTGCAAACCAACAAGCATGTTCCACATGCAAAACTTGCCGTACATGTTCGACTTGTTTTCTTTTGGCCATGGGTTCACGGGTAGAGCGAAGACCTCCTCGTGTACATCCACGAATCCAGCCTCTCGGTACCACCTCTTTAGTTTGTCCGCAATGCGTAACGGCCGGCCCAGGATGTGCGCGGCCTCGTCTTGCAGATTTGACCATTCAAGCAGCGGGTAACTTTCCGGCATGCCTTCGGCACACTGGAGCTTGGAGAATATCTCCTGCGACTCCATCCATCCACCAGGTTTCAGATTGTTGAAGCCCTTTTGTATGATTTCTCGGAAGTCTGTGAAGATGCCGTGCATGAAGCGTGTGTGGACGTAGTCGTAGGTATAGGGTTGTTTCTCGGGGAACCACCATGATGTCTTGAGGATGTTGTCCAGCCAGAAGTCGACGTTGTTGGGCAGTCTGTCTTTCTTGGGTTGGATCGCGGATAAGTCGATGCCTTCAACCTGATGTCTGGTTAGCGTGGCCACGAAGAGAGTATTGCATCGCGTACCCGCCAGTGTTTTGGAGCCTTTTTTGCTGGTGCTTGTCAGTCGTCTTTCTATAAGAAGCTATAGGCACAGCACATACCCATCGCGATGCACCATTGTCCGGTGCCACAGCCAATGTCCAGCATCCTCGACGATCTCTTTGTGTTCAGCGGCGCGAAGTAGTGTTTGCCTTGCAGCAGTCCTGTTATGATGTGATGTTCCCATTCCAGGCGATAGATCTCGAGCTGTGGGTATCCGAGTCAGCGAAAGGGCGATGGGCGAATCTGGGTTCTAGCAGCGCGTACCTCGTCGTTGGGAAATGGGTAGGCTGGAGTTAATTAGCTAAAGTCAGGCGAAAAGCCATTCGGTAGGTATGCGTACCTCCAGCATGAAAGCCATGGTAAGTTCGGCCGTACTTCTTCTCGACGCCATACATGCTTGGCGTGAGGCTTTGCACCTCGCTGCAATGTGTAAGCGCATGGAGTATACGAGGGGTGAGGAGGAGAGGTACAAGTCGTTGAGTTCTCCATCTGACGGTGCATCCGACTACAGATCGCGATTAGTTTGGAGTCCATGGTACGTATGTAGTGGGGAGAGCAGGCGGCATACATCAGCTGGGTCGGCCGTCGAGTGTGTGAAGTCGGTGAGATTGGTGGCACTGGACAGCGGCCGCAGCTTGGTCTTGCGCACACGGTCAGTCGCAGAGGTGGCCATGATGTCTTGGGGATGCGCTACGGTGCGCTACAGGACTCGCCCCGAGTCGTGTCGAGGAAGAGGCGAAACCCAGCGGAATGGATAATGTCGTTCCCAAGGCCCTGGCCTTGGAGGGCGCGCCGACAGCGAAAGCGCCGACGGGAGCGCTAGGGGGCCAGTCAACCCCGCAGTCCTCGCAACCTCGACCGCCCTGTCTGCTGCCAGCTGTTGCAAAGACCCACAGCCACGACCAACGTGTCGAATGACACCGACAGCTTTACGCCTCATCCTGCCAGTACCGAGTGCGTGGCTTTGGACATGCGTCACTCCTTCCGAGAGATTGGGCCACCAGCTCACCGACCACTCCCCGGGTGCACACCATCAACACGCCCGTCAATGTCTCAATGCCACCATTGTTGTCTTCTTCCTTTGCTTCTCGGGCGCTAGCACGACCTAAGCCCCGGCTTCTGACCCAGTTCTGGGACTGAGACCTGATCTGCCTTGCTCTGCTGTGTGTTTGGGGCACAGTTCTCTAGCGTACACAAAGGACTTTCCCAAACGGCTTCCTACCTGCGGCTATCGGAATTCCAAATGCTTCCCTGCCATTGTCTCTATCATGGTTTTCGTCTTCGTCTGGCTCAGCCACTCGTAGCTCGGCGTTTCCGGCGCCTTGGCCGCGTGAGCTGCATTGGAAGGAATGCGTCGGGCGCATCAACCAATGTATCGGATCCGGGGAAGGCCGTGTCAAATCATGCCATTCTGACCAAACTGGCGGTTTACCTGCCACTGCGGCCTGGACCGTTGGACCGTTGGGGAGAAACGTTCGCAAAGCTGACAGAATCCGTACCGACCCTCACTAGTATCCCAGCGATGTACATGCAAGGTCTGGCTGTTGAGAAGTGCATCATGTCGGGATACTTGCTGCAAGGAGAAATCGCCGAGGTATTGAAATTCTGCCACTTCACAAGAGAGGCCTGGTCAGCATGCAATGCAATCACCAAGTCTGTTGGAGTCGCAGATAGGCGTGGTGGTGGATACAAAAATCAGCAAGGAGACGACCGCTTTCGTACGAACCACTCAAACCGTAATGCGCCTGTTGTGGGGGTGCGTAGTATGTGGCAGTCGTTGCGGGCTTTGAAAGCGTTCTGCCTAGCATCATCCAACGGCGTCCCCTGCTATGCCATTCACCGTTCGGCGACCATGCATCAAAGCGCTGAGCTGTCATGCATGTGCATCTTGAACAAGTAGGCCAGGCATGATGGCCTGTGGTGTAGGGTCGTAAGTAGCGCGCTTGGCGGAGATGCTAAGAGCTTTCTATCAGACGTGGGCAATGTTGACTTGTTTGTATCGAGTAAGAGTGACGAATTCTCACGCTCAACATCACTGGAAAGTCGCTTGCTGGTACCTCTCAGGATTTTCGGGGGCGTCTCTAAGGAAAGTACCTCGTTCGCAGTGAAGAGGAGGTAGACCTGTGTCGTAGTAGGTGCGCGAATGTCACTGCTGTCTGAAGAGCTTTTTTGGGCTGTCGCCCCTACCTTGCAAGGCGAAGGCAAGAATGGCTTTTCCACTCTCGAAATAGGAAGTCGCCTGAGCTGAGACGTGACTACCCCAGTATGATCTCTCCAAACGTCGTTGTCTCTCAGGCGGATCCAAAGACAATCAGATTGCCACGACGGTATATCGCATACTGGCCAAAATCGTAGCCACGACAATTCTTTGTTAGGTCTCTCACCTAAGTCACCTTCACCTTTCACCATTTCATTCTTCGTGCAATGGCCTCACTACAAGTAAAGTGGCGCCAGGAGTATCGCGCTACCTAGATAGTATATATTATCCATGCTAACCAGCCAACAAGCTTACCACCCACGTCACTCTCGGGAGTGTAAGGACATCAACTAATAGATCAGCAAGTTCAGCAACCAGGGCATCGCGATGACGGTGTCAAAGACTCGGGGCGCCGCACGCAAAGGTGCACACAAACGCGTACAGTAAGTTCTGCAGCGTGCACGACTCAAGACATCAGATCTGACAGTATCCGTAGTTTCGGGCGCCATATGGTCGATATCCTTGTCGGACCTGACGAACATCCTTTCAGTGTACACCAAGACCTGCTTTGTTCAAGTTCGGGCCACTTTAAGGAAAGATTGCAAAGCTCTCGCAAAGTCATCGAAGGCGAGTGTTCAATCTGCACTGAAAAGATGTTGGGACATTCACCAGTTACTTATTGCGAGGCTTGTGGTCAGAACTTCCACACTGGGTGTGTCCAAGAGTGGATGAACAAGGATGAAACCTGCCCTCTTTGCCGCAGGGATTGGGAGTACGTAGAGCCCACCAAGGCCTGCTTCGATGAACTCAGTTTGAGTGACTGCGACCCTCTGAGCTTCGACATGTATATGCAATGGCTATACACTGGAGTCATTACAAGCTTCCCCCTTGGCGACGTTGGGAATGATGTGCGAAGCCGCTTCAGACAACTCATCAAAGCACACATAGTTGGTGACAGCTTGCAAGACGCCCGCTTTCTAAAAGCCCTTCGTGAGGAGATTATCGACTACAGTTTGGCCACAAACAGACTTCCTGGACAAGAAGGTGTTGTGTACGCATATGACAATGCAAGCAAGACCTCCAAACTGTGGAAGTTCCTGGCGCATTTGTATGCTATGAAGGCAGGCCGAAACACCCGAAGAAGCTACGAGGATTACCCAGCGCAGTTCATACAAGAGCTCTTGCAGGCTTTGCTGGTGCTGCGCAGACGCAAACGCAGAGATGATCTGAAAAAGTCCTTGGCCGACTGGCTCTCTGGAGAGGAAGAGGTGGTAGAGGAGGACGAGGAGGAAGTTGAGGAAGAGGAGGAAGAGGAAGAGGAGGAAGAGGAAGAGGAGGAAGACAAGGACGAAGACGAGGACGAGGAGGAAGAGGAGGAAGAGGAGGAAGAGGAGGACGGAGAGGAAGAGTAGGAAGTGGGAGAGACAGAGGAAGATCAACAAGGCGAAACGGAAGAGGCAGACCGGGAATAGTGACACGGGACTGGATTATGACAAAAATGGTTATAGAGGACGGACCGAAATACTGGAGGGATGGGGCAATGGTTATGCTTAAACGGTTTGGCGAATGACAGCAGTCTCATACCAACAAATTCGGAGACACGCGAAGGAAGCTGCAGAACAAAAGAAAATGCAAATCACATTGCGTGAAGATGGTCTTCCCACCTATGCCCCGCTACTAATAATGTACAGGTACTCGTGCCATGGAAGCTTTTGATAAGGTATTATTTACCGGCCCTTCTTGACCCATCCTTCAAGATTCTCACGTGTATCAGCCAGCTTGCCCTCGACCATACCAACAGTCCCCTGCGCATGTGCCTTTCCAGTCTCGATGAATTGCGAGATCCTGTTCTTCATCCGCAGGTGGGTATCCGCAAGTACGGGGTATTTCTCTTCGTAGGTCCAGATGAGGTCTCCAACGTTCTTGGTAGTGATGGGCAGCACAAACTTCGCGGCGGTGATGCCGACAGCGACGGGGACGGATGTTCGAAGGAGGATGTTGCGGTTGCGCGTGACGATGGAACCGGCCATGGAGGAGACGAGGACGTAGAGTGCGCCGGGGAGGACCTTCTCGCCGGATTCCCTGGGTGGGGCTAATGAGCGGATGGTGCTTGTGAAGGAGTGCTCGAGACGGAGCGTCTCTGTGAGTGCGTTGTCGACGGCCTTCTCGCCGCGGACAGCCTGCTCGTACAGAGCCATGCGCGCACGGCCGATCTGGACTGCGAGGCGGTCGGTTGGTGTCGGTCGGTAGCTAGACTCTGGTGATAAAGAGTTCGATGGTTCTGTCAGGGCGGGAGCGGTAGGCGCTGTGGTGTCGACGGGCATGTCATCGTAGATAGGTTTGCGGTTCTACTTTGGCGTTAGTATTACGATTGATAAGGAAACTAAAGGCGCTCAAAAAGCTTTTCCGAGAGTTTGAGGGCGTTCCAACGTACAAAATGGTCGGCAGGTCGCTCCTCTGCGTATACGGTCCGTGGTGCGAAGATTGCTGCGGCAGAGAGGGCGGCCATGGCGGGGACAGCGGCGCGCTATGCGATGTCAATACACAGTCTGCCATCTCTTGCGGGCTACTCACCTGCCGTAACAGCGGTCTGAAAGCCATGTCGAGCGTGGGGCAGGCGCAATGGGTTGAGTCTGGTAATGTCCAACTGGTGATGTTGAGCTCAGAAGATGCGGAAACGGCCGTGCGAACGCCGCAAGATTCCCGCCCGTCCTCGGCTTAGCTATGACATCGTTCGTCTCGTCCGACTTCTGCCAGCCCACCCTTCACCCGTGCAACCCGTGCAACCCAATATGCTCAAGCGCCTCGCTCGCCCAAAGCAGTCGCCATGGGTCTGCCAACAATGCCTGCGCTCCTCCCAACGCCAACGACGCTTCAACTCCACCTTCGCCGCCGCCGCCAAAGCACGCGACACTGCGCCGCCCAGCTCGCTCTACGGCCTGTCTGCCAGCGGGAAGACAGATGACGACGCCCTGCGCAAGGTTTTCGACAACGCATCTTTCTGGAATGACTTCAAGCGCGCATCGCAAAAGGGAAAACCCACAGGAATAATAGGGAACCAATACCTCACCCACCCGCAGGGCTTCGTCGACTTCGTTACCGTAACAATACAACGCTGCAATGCCGTGGTGCAAAAGGTGGCGGCCGCGCAGTCGACGGAGGACTTCAAGCACATGGTCAAGGACCTGGACAAGCTCAGCGATCTACTATGTCGGGTGATAGACTTGGCCGACTTTGTAAGAGGCACGCATCCGGATCGCAAGTTCCAGATGATGGCGATGAAGGCCTACCAGACGGTGTTCCAGTACATGAACCAGCTGAACACCACGCCGGTACTGCACGACCAGCTGAAGAAGGCGTCGGAGATATCCGAGGTGTACGACACGTGGAGCGAGGAGGAGCGCATCGTTGCGCGGATATTGATGGAGGATTTTTCAAGATTTGGCATCGGACTAGACGACAAGACAAGGGAGCGGCTGGTAGATCTGAGCGGCGAGATTGCAGACGTAGGGAACGAGTTTGTGGAAGGCATGGCGCCAGAGAAACGGGACTTGAGGTTCAAGTCGTCGAAGCTGAGAGGGCTGGACCCCAACCTCGCAAAGGCGCTGACGAAATGGGGCGAGACCAAGATTTCTACGATGCATTCCGAATCGCAAGCGGTTTTACGATTCGTAGACGACGCAGATGTACGGCAAGAGACGTACCAGGCTGTCCGCACAGCCAACAAACCAAGCATCGCGAGATTAGAAAAGCTTTTGAAACTGCGCGTGGAATTGGCCCAAACCTCAGGCTACGAGACATTCGCACATATGACGCTAGAGAACAAGATGGCGCGAACACCGGAAGCCGTAAACACATTCTTAAAGGCACTGTATGAGGACAGCCGGCCGGCTGTTCTCGCTGATCTAGAAGAGTTGATGGAGTTGAAGAGAGGCGACGCCCACCAGGACAACTTCCCCGATCGCATCAACGCCTGGGATAAATTCTATTACACACAGAAGATGCTAGCCTCTATGGAGAGTCACTACAGGCAGCGCACGCCCGACTCTCTATCTGCTTACTTCTCCGTTGGCACTGTACTACAGGGTATATCGCGACTCTTCGACCGTCTTTACGGCGTGCGATTCGTTCCCAAAGAGACGCAACCAGGGGAGGTATGGGACGATGGTGTTCGCCGATTAGACGTCATCTCAGACACCGAAGGTCACATTGCAGTGCTTTACTGCGACTTGTACTCACGACCCGGCAAGACCCCCAATCCAGCGCACTTCACCCTTCGCTGTAGCCGCGAAATTCTCCCTTCCGAGATGGAAGAGATGGCCCACATGCCGCACCGCTTCTCCTCCCCCATCGAAGCCGCCACAGACGGCATGCCCGTATCCTACAACGCCTCACGAAACAGTTACTTCCAACTCCCCACAATAGCACTAATCTGCGATTTCAGCAAAGCCTCACACTCGCGCCCAACCCTCCTCAACATCCACGACGTCCGCACCCTCTTCCACGAAATGGGCCACGCACTGCACTCCATCCTCGGTCGCACCGCCCTGCAAAACGTCTCCGGCACCCGATGCGCAACCGACATCGCCGAGCTACCCTCGGTCCTAATGGAGCACTTTGCCTTCTGCCCCCACGTCCTGGGTCTCTACGCCCGCCACTGGGAAACTGACGCGCCGGTCCCCATGGCCGCAGTCGAAGCCCGACTCGCGATCGATAACCGGAACCAATATTCTGAACTCGAAAGCCAGATCTTGCTCTGCATGCTCGACCAAGTGTACCACTCCCCCATCGCCGCAGACCCCAACTTCAATTCTACAAAAGTATACCACGACGTCTACAACAAATATGCTTCTGTTCCTGAACCTGCTGGTACAGCTTGGCAGGGTTTCTTCGGCCATTTGTTTGGATACGGGGCTACGTATTATTCTTACCTCTTTGACCGTGCGCTAGCGGCGAAGATATGGAAAGATGTGTTCCAGCATAATGGCCAAGAAGGTAGTTTGGACAGGGAGAATGGCGAGCTATATAAGAATGAGGTGCTTAAGTGGGGCGGAGGTAGGGATGGATGGCAGTGCTTGGCTGGTGTGCTCAAGGATGAGAGGTTAGCTAAGGGAGGTGAGGAGGCTATGGCCGAGGTGGGGAAATGGGGGATTAGGGAGGCGAGGGGGAAATAGAGTCGTGATTGATGTCATGCTTTATATACGTTTAATGTTGCGACGCATGTATATATGATGGTTAGATGGTTAGACGGTAGACGATACGTTTAAACGCGCATGCATTCATATCATAGATATGGAGTTCTCAAATCAAGCAGAACACCTGTAGTATCCTTTATTACTTTTGAATCATGCGAATTTGGAATGCTACTTCGTGCACTTACATACTCCTCTCTACAGAACCTTATACGGCAGATACCCTCATCTCACACATCCCCTCCTACCCGCCCATCCCCCTCCCCCGATCCATAACCCCCGCCTTTATCCTCTCCACGACCTCCCTACCCAACCACCTCAACTTCCCATTTTGCCGACACGCCGCATCCGCCCACTCAAACACGCCCTTCAACTCCCTCAGCTCTTCAACTTTCCAGCTCTTCGCCAGTCTACCCAGCACCAACCTCGATTCGACAACTGTAGCTCCGGGATCCAGCCAGCTCTTACTGTGTTGATCAAGTGGCAATATGAGTCCCGCGTCGCTGGCAGATATGAACTGCGATAGCGCGGGAAGGGTGAAGATCCAGTGGAAGAGGAGGTTGGCCGTCTTGGATGATTGCGCATCGTTGAGGGCGACGAGAGTAGAACTAAACGTCGTGGAGTACGTATCATGGGCAGATCGACGGCGAACGTTCAGTGTTTGGTTGCGCTCGAAGGATTTGAGATGGAGTGGGTTGTGTACGAAATCTAGGGTCGTGGGCCAGTACGTCTGATCTGCTGTTTCGAGGCGGCTGATGAGATGGATTTCCGGGAGTAGACAGGGCGCTACTAATGTCTTTGTTTGTGGCTCCTCGTTGCCTTCTTGGTTGTTCTTGAAGACGACGTTGATGGGCATGGATATGGCGCGTCCTGTGTCTACGTCTCGCACAACAAGACATCTGGGCTCGGCGGCTAGTACCCAGAAGTGACGGAACGCCTGGAGATGGGCCCGCGAGTCTTGTACGTCAGAGGGAAACAGGGGGTAGAATGCGCAGATCAAACTGGCAATGGCTTTGTTGCTGCGACTGAAGGTCTGGGTACCACCCGCGATGAACAGAGTGCCAAAGGCCATGTGAGCTGCGAGATGAGAGCCGTAGGGAATGTCCGGACCGATGCGGCCGTGGAGACCGCGCAAGCGACGGAAGACTTCGAGATCGCCAGTTCCTGCCATGACAGTTGCGGCGGCTAAGGCAATGAGATCTTGGCAGTTCCGGACTGTG